CCTGACACATTGTAATTTGGGCTTGGCAAATAGAGTCCCTCTCACGCGCCAGCTGGGGTTAGCTGTGTGGAGTGCCCTGTTGGAAGAGGGCTGAGTCTCTGCCCAAGATCTGCAGGAGGGAGTCTGATCAATTAGCAATGTCTGTAGGCCAGGTGAGCAGAGGGTGGGGCAAGCACCTGCCCCACGTCTGCCACCCCGCCCTGGGGCTCTGGACAGTCAGTCCGCTCCCAGACTGGGTCTTCTATGTGATCTGACAATTGTAGCGGGCAACAAGGTGATTTTTGCTCCTGGCTTTTCATTCGTGTTCGTGACTGGCTCTCAGCTTCATCGCAGCCTCAGTTCACAGTAATCTTAGGCTCAACAAAAAAATCCCCAAGGCTTTTTCGTAAGAACAGCCATCAAACCAGATCTTCCTGCCATCTTGATATTATTTCCATTATATGGATATAGAATTAATTTAAATCAATCCCTTGTTGATGTTCATTTAGGTTATTCCCAAATTTTTGTAATTAGAAACACGGCAGTGAAAATCCTTGTCTCTACCTCTGTGTGTATTGGTCTTACTTCCTTAGCCCAGATCTTCGGAAAAGGGGTTGCTGAACCGAGAGCGTCTTCTGAAAGTGCTGGGCGGCAGCCACCCAACTGCCACAGGACGTTCCAGAGACTCTAGACTGTCAGGAATGCTCAGGGACTTGGAGCAGGTGCCCCGCCCCATTTTCTGATCTGCACGTGGTCCAGGCATCTGAGAGGGCTCATGAATTCAAGGGTGCAGTTGAGGACTCACCCCGGTGTGTTCAGTCCTGTCCGTCGGACCGGGGCAGTGGGAGAAGCTTCCCGGAGGGAGCTGAACCGGGCGGCCAGACGTTGAGCAGCTGAGCTCAGGAGGTCAGAGGCAGCGCTGGGGTCAGGGCGGTGGGGACCGGCCCGGCTGTTCAAAAGCCCCACCTAGACACTCATACTCTGGCAAAGTGTGACCCTCGTTTTACAGCCAAGATCTGTGTCACATCTGTCCTTCTGTCGTGAGGAGGGAAAGGTTGACTGTTCTGTACAATATGACATTTCTTCCTCTCCCAGAAAGAAACTGGGGGCTGAGCAGAGTGCTTGGAGCCTGGAGCTTCTGGGTGTCGTAGAGAAAAGCATTATTATGGATTCAGACAGAAAATAGTTGAGCGTCTACATGATTTAAGTTTGATTATTATGGATTCAGACAGAAGGTAGTCGAGTGTCTACATGATTTAAGTTTGATGACTGTTCCTAGCTAGTCCCCTGAAAAAGCTATACCAATTTGTCCCCCTGCCAGCAGGTCCGAGAGTGCCCGTTGCTGCACACACTTGCCAATACTGGGCATTTTCACTTTAAAACATCTTTTTGTTTATCAGTTCAGATAAACTCAGATTAAGAAAACTCTGTTTTAGTGTCTAATACTGTATAGCTTCTGATTGGGACCATCAAGAAGTGATGTTCTCTGGCTCAAGGTGCGTTTGTAAGCAACATAGAAAAATCCACGCTGCTCTGACTTTTGTCCACACGTTTGTGAGAGAAGCCTGGTGGTGCCATGCTGGTTGCAGTAGGATGGCCTGGCCATTTCTTTTGTTTTCAGGATGGTTTGAAGTTGGTTTTGATTTTTTTTGAGTGTGGAAGGGCTGCCACATTCTACAACTCGAGGGGATGCCATTCACACAGACTAAACAGGACTTGGTGACAGCTCGGCTGGAGGGTTGAGGAGGGACTAAAGTGATGATGCCAGGACCCTGCTCTGGGATCGGAGTGGAAGGCTGGGGGCAACCGTCCGACCTCGCCTTCCCAGAGTGGATGACCTTGCTAGCAGACCTGGACTCTCCCAAGCACATTCTGGACCTGCCGACCCCACCCGCCAGCCAGGAGCCTGGCAGTGCCCAGAGTGGGAGTCCTGGACTGGCACAGCCAGAATGCGCTTGCCTGCCCCCAGCCGCCTCCATCTCAGTCCTGCCCCCAAAGTGCCCTTGCACTCCAGGTGATGCCCACTATGATGTCCTGCCCATCTTGAGTTCAGCGGTCGTCATCGGCTTCTCTTTCCTCATTCCCCTCTGCCCCGAACCACGGCCGGCTGGGAATAATGGCAACCTTCCAAGTCCACAGGCGGGCCCTGGCCCTCGCTCACTCCCCACTGTTAGGGCAAGAAGGCCCCATTCTCCTGCTCACAGCTGTTTTCGGGCCAGATAAGAAAGGGCTTGGTGAGAAGTGAAGTCCCTCCAGACTCGAGAGGTGGACATTGCTCCTTTACTCGGTGCTCTCAGGTCAAGGGCTGTGCAGTGAGGGTCCTGGCCCGCCACTCCCTGGCAGAGCCTCCTGGCAGCGCAGGCGTGGCCCATGGCCACCGAGCGGCTTCCTACTCCAGGGACCTGCAGGGAAACTGCCTGGCAGTCTCTGTGTCTCTGCTGACTCTTGGTTACGGGACCATTTTAAGTTCTTGTCTTAGTAGTAGACACCTCGCTACATCTCTTCAAGGACAAGACTTTATTTCCTGTCAGCCTCTTGCCCAGAAACACAGATTCGGCCCCTGACCGAAACATTTCCAGTTCGAGGGATGCGTGCATGGAAATACTTCCTGTGATGTGCCAGCCGCCTATGGAGACAAGGGAACAGGGAGGAACGTGAGGGCGGAGCAAAGGCCTGGGCCCTGGGGTCAGGCACGGTGGGATGGGCTTCCCAGGGGAGCCTGGTCACTTCTCTGCGAGCTCAGGGTCCGTTGACTGAAGTCTGAGATGGGCATTCATTCCCTCCTGCGTAGGACAATTGGTTGGGGTCCTGAGTATTTTAGCAAGGCATTGTTCAAAGCTTCGTCAGTAGAATGGGAGAATTTTAAGATCTGCCTGTCCCCTCCCTGTTCCCCCAGCCAAGGTATGCACGCTAGGCCCAGAGGAAGCTGCTGTGGTGGGGGATGCAGCGGAGGGGGAGGGGGTGACCCCTGGGATGTTGGGAGAATCTTAAGGGGTGGGGTTCCTTGGATACCTCGAAGGCATCTAGTCCAACCCATTTGCATTACAGATAGGGAAACAGACCTTGAAATGAGGGGCGGCCCACCCTCGTTTGTGGCCAGGTCAAGGCAGAGCCAGGTGAAGAGCCTGGGTCTCCTCTGCTCATCTCCTCGCTTCACCTTGGCCCCTAGGGAGCAGGTGGAGTATCCTGTTGCTTGTCCCCAGAAGCCAGAGCCAGTTGTGGAGTGGTAGTCTTGTCCCTAAGCTAAACCTGGAAAGCAAGTGCAGAAATTTGTAGTCTAGCCCTGGCTCGGGGTGGAACTAGCCTCAAACAGCAGGCTGCCCCCACCACCTAGGTCGCTGGCTATGCCCTCTGCTCCAGCACCTCCTTCCCTGGGCCCCCACTCTGGGTTTCTGTGGAGTTGGTGAACAGTCTCACATTCTGCACTTGACAGTGGGGTCCTGCCAGGCCCCGTGAGGGGCGGCAGGAATAGAAGCAGAGGGGGCAGGGGCTGGGCCCATTGGCCCTAGGCTGTTGTGCGCAAGGCGTTCCCGTTGGTCTGAAGAAGGGACCATTGAGGAAGCACCGCAGCCTGGGTGAGGTCTGTGTTGTTCCCTTCTTTCTGCTGTGCCCTTCCAGTGGGACCTCCACCCTGGCCCCAGGGACAAGAGAGTCTTTGAAGTCCCTTCCAGGCTGAGGTTGAGTGATTTTACAGGGACAGGGAACTCGGCAGGGTGACTAGAAGTTGTGTTAGAAACTCATTGCTTAAATTTCTCCCTTCTTTCCTTGTCTTACACCATAAAGCAGTCTGCGGCAGAAACCGACATCTGCACGAAATGAAATGTCTTCTGAGTTCACGGGCTAGGATGAGTTAGCCATCCTCGTGTCCCCACTAGTTGGCCCAGTTCCTACACGACGCTTGGAGATGTTGAGGGGACGTCGTGGGGACGAGAGGCAATGAGGTGGAGAGGAACACTCGGTCTCAGGGTCCCACCAGCTTGGGCTTGAATCCTGACCCACCTACTCACTGCCTAGGTGACCTCAGGTAGCTCTTAGGGGCCTGTCTCCTCACCTGTAAAAAGGGAGCTAATAATTCCTCCTTCGCAGGCTGGTTTTAAGATTTAGAGAAAATACGCATACAACACTGTGTTAGATTCTAAACCTGCCATAATAGATACAGACTGGGGGCCTTAAACAGCAGACATTTATTTTCTCACAGTTCTGGAAGTTGGAAGTCTCAGATCAAGGTGTGGGCAGGGTTGTTTCTCCTGTGACCTCTCACCTTGGCTTGCAGATGGCTGTCCTCTCCCTGTGTCCTCACGTGGTCATCCCTCTGACTGTCCTAATCTCTTCTTAGAAGGACACCAGTCATATTGGATTAGGGCTCACCCTAACAACCCTATTTTAACTCAGTCCCCTCTACAAAGACCCTATCTCCAGTGACAGTCCCATGGTCAGGTCCAAGGCGTAGGACTGCAGCGTGCAAATCTGGGGGCACACCCCAGCTTTTGACAAACACCAGCACAGTGCCCGGCCCCAAGTGGGTGCACTGTGAAGGGTCACTTTTGTTAATTATTCTTTTTTAAAAAAGGTGAAAAAAAAAACCAGCGGTGTTCTTACTGCAGGGCATAGGGAGAAGGTGACAGGATTCACCAGCCAGTATTTGCTGAGCACCTGCCAAGTGCCGGGCACTGCTCCCGGTGCTGGGGATCAGCGGTGACCCAGTGGGCCGGAGGACGTTCTTGTGTGGGAGACGGACAGTCAGCATAATCACTCAGTAAAGTGCGTCTCGTGTTAGAGGGTGGCAGGTTTACAGAGAAAACTAAATCTGAGTGAATGCAGCAGGATCCTTAGGAAGGTCCGAGTGGCGGGTCTTCGTGGGCCACCCTGGCTGCATATAGATCCACTGCGGGGCGAGGGAGGAGCAGAGAGAGCCCCATGGGCTCCTTTTGGGCCGTGTGGGGCCACCCCCTTCCACGGCCTGGCACCCTGGTTCTGGTTTCCCACTCACAGGAAGTTTCTCACTTCTCTCTCCTCTGCAGCGTTGAGGGTGAGGCCCCCAGCAGCGAGACTGGCACGTCCCTGGACAGCCCCTCGGCCTACCAGCAGGGCCCCTTGGTGCCCGGTTCCAGCCTGAGCCCGGACCACTACGAGCACACATCGGTGGGAGCCTATGGGCTGTACTCGGGGCCGCCGGGGCAGCAGCGCACGCGGAGGCCCAAGCTGCAGCACTCGACCTCCATCCTGCGCAAGCAGGCTGAGGAGGAGGCCATCAAGCGCTCCCGCTCACTCTCTGAGAGCTATGAGCTCTCCTCGGACCTGCAGGACAAGCAGGTAGGCGGACGCAGCCCTGCAGGCCACACGAGGACAAGAGGCAAGGCAGCTCTGCCCACTGCCTGTGGCCTCCCTGGGCATGACAGCCAGCAAAGGAGTCCCTCTGCTGTCAGATAGCTCTCTCCAACAGGTTCAAGTTCGGCTGTGTGTTTGCTAACAATCCGGCCTTTGCCTCGGCCTGAGCTCTGCCCCTTTCTCCTCCTGGGAGCCTTTTGCCCCAGCTTGGCTCGGGCTCGAATGCTTAAAGGGACTTGATTGTCTGACATTCCTTCTGGAGACTCATGTAGAATTGTCCTCAGATGAGGCCTTTGCCCAGGTTCTGTGCCCCTCAGAGCCTGGATCTGGGGGCTGTGGTGGGCATCTGAGTGTGATAGCCCAGTACCACCAGGGCACACGGGTTGTGTGGCCAGCCACAGAGGTTCTGAAGACCCAGGGAAGACTGGAGGAGGGAGCCCCCAGGGAGAGAAGGAGGAAGGTCAGTTTACAACATAAATAGCACAAGCTCTGAAAGGAAGGCCAAGCCCATCTGCAGCCAGTGAGGTGAGGTTGCTTATTATATCCCTCTTGGTTCACAAGTCTGTGTTCTTTATGGGGAATTGCCTCATTGAAGGTGCACTCCCTCCCTCAGGGGCCTTGGTCCAGAGAGATGGCCCAGACCCACCATGGGGTGGGCACCTGTGTGCAGAACAGAGAGGGTGAGCAGCCTGCCTGCTTGGCTGGGCTTGAGGAAGGACCAGAAGCAGCTTTTCGGGGTTGAGGGGAGAGAGGAGAGTCCTGTCTCTGCTGGGGTGGTGGAAGAGGGGAGAGCCAGGATGTGAGTCCCTGGGGAAGCAGAGAGCTCTCACTTCCACGTCCCTCAGAGTGCAAGCGCATAGTAGGCCCTTTAATAAGGACCCGAGTGAATGAACAGATGGCTACATGAGTGAGCCAGTGAGCTAACAAGTCTCCTAGCAGTTTCAGACTTCAGGAGAACTCCTGGGCTGCCAAGAAACAGCTCGGCAGGCTTGCAGGGGCAGGCTGCGTAAATCGGACTTTGCCCAGCTCCTGGGCGCTGAGCTTTGGGCAGGCTCTGCCCCGGCCCGGCCTCAGGACCCTTCCCAACCACCCCCAGACTCCATGCTGTAGGTGTCACCTTGCCTTCCCTCCTGCCCACAGCTAACCTACGGCCTGGCCTGCCTTCTCTCTGCTCCCTGATCTTCCCGTTTGTCCTTCAAGGAGCAGCAGTCTGGGCCCAGTGTGTCCCCCCCTTCCTAAGAGAGTGGTGGGGACTGCCCAGGATGGTCTTCTCTTCTGGCAAAGAATTCCTTACTTAGCCCCCCTCCCACCTGCTCTCAGTGCCGCCCTGCAACTTTGGCCAGGCCAACAGCAGGGGAGAACGGCCTCTGTTCCATTAATCCATTGTGCCCAGATCCAAAGTAGATCACAGATAGTTGTAGTAAAAGGCATCTGCAGCAGGACATTAGAATAGTAATGAGAAAGGTAAAGAGTCAGTAGAGGCTGTCTATCTGTGAAGATAATTATATGCTTAATACAGGCCTAACACGGCTGCAGCTGTTTGTTTTCCTTCTGTGCATGTTAGCTGAATGCCCTCCATGTGCCAGACACCGCTGGGGAGTCAACAGTGAATGAGACAAGGCTCTTGAGCTGACGCTGTGGTACAGGAGATGGACCACGAGCAAGTTAACAATCAAGAGACAGTTTAATTCCAGAAAGTGATGCAAACTCTAGAGATTACAAAATTGAGGAAAGAAAAAAAGTGGCTATGGGCGGTGACAGCATTCCATAAGGGTGGTAGAGAAGACCACTCTAAGGTGGCATTAGAACTGGGTGTTGCAGGAAGAGGCGAGAGCCAAGTGCAAAGGCCCTGAGGGAAGAGCGAGCTTGGTATGTGAGAGATGGAAAAGAAGGCTGGGAAGAGGTAGTGAAGAGGCGAGAGGGAGGAGGCAACATTGAGGGCTGTTGAGCATTCGACACTCTGCTGAGCTTCCTGGCAAGCAAGGCAAAAGTGGGAATAGGACAGATTGCCTGGGAACTGCCAGATGAAAGTGGGGTGCCTGATTCCAGAAGGAGTTTTAAGCCTGGGTAACACAAAGCCTCATTTTAGTGAAAGGAGCCCAATGGGTAGTCTCATGTTCTTCTGGTCCCTGACCCTCTGCACTTTCTGGTGGTTTCCTGTCCTTGAGAGCAGGAGGCCTAGGTGGCCTCACACACCGTCGCTGTGTCATCAAGCAGTGACAGTTCTGCTTTGTGGAAGGGCATTTCTCTTGGTTCCTCGTCCCCACTGTTCAGAAGTGTCCCTTTCAGGGTGAGTGAGGGCCTGATGGGAGAGCCCCGGCCACGGGGTCGACTCCCCTACCCATTATCTGTGCAGCCTGGGCTGGCTGCTTCCCTGCCCTGAGCCTCTCCTCATCTGAGAAGTGGGATATCGAAAGCCCTCAGGAGGTCGGAAGTTGCTGTGAGTATCAGATGAGGTGTGCAGTCTGCAGCACACACAGTAGGTCAGCAGATGTCAATGGAATTCCTGCCCCTGGGTTCCAGTGAGCATTTATACTGGGCCTGGTGTTAGTTACAGTTCAGAAAGAAGAGCGACCATGGTGAGTTTGGGGGACGAGCAGCCCTGGTCAGTGCGTGTCCCCTTGGGGAGGGACTACGAGGTGCTTTAGTGACTAAATGTAGTGCCCATTTCTGCCTGCCGGACATCCCGTTGCCCCCAATACGCATGCAGCCTTGGGAAAAAGGCCTCAGGAAAACAGGGTAGCTGCCTGGTGTGTGAGGTCCAGAGCCAGCAGGCAAGACGGCCCTGCAGTGAACTCCAGGCCAGAGCTGGTGGCCCTGGTGCTTGTGACACCCCCACCGAGGGTTGACGAGGGACGCCAGGACCATGGGCCTTCTTGGGCAAAGAGGGAAGGAGGGAAGAAAGGGCTTCCCAGAGTCCAGCCTCAGGCCCCTTATTGGCCCTGTGGGCTTTCTGAGTTCCACTCACAACCCAAAAAATAGAAACTTTCTGCTTACAGATGTGGAAGTGAGGTCATCTCTTTGGATGGCGTTCAATAACTTCAGGGGAAGAGAAAAAGCAGAACCACCCTGGCTGACTCTGGGCTGGGCTGGGCTTAGAAAAGTCATTTTGATCCCCGCCCCCAGCTCTTCTCTGCCCAGCCTGCCCGCCCCCTCCTGCAGGCCCTGGGAGAGCTGATGCATTCACCATTTGGGGCGCTCTCTGGGCCTGTTTCACAGGTGTCTCTGAGATGGACTGGCCCCACGGGGACTCCCAACATGCTCACTCCGCGGGGAGGTGAACAGAAACACGGGCCCGGGCCACCTGCCTGGGAAGCCAGAGGACCAGGCTCCATACACAGGCCCCACGGCAGCCCTGAGAGCCCCCTGCGCCTGCCTCCCCCACCCTGACTCAGGCCACAGCCTGTGTCTTGCTTGGCATCTGTTCGGTTGATTTCGGTTGTGTGTCTGTGTCGGTCTGTTCTACTTGACAGACTCTGGGCTCCTCGAGGGCAAGGACCTGTGTGTCTCCCTTTCTACTGTCAGGTTTGGCGTGATGGCTGGTGTGTTATGGGCCCATGGGACCAAGCAGGCAGGTGCTGTGCTTTGCCTTTCTCCTGGGGACCTGAGACCTCTCCCAGCCCCTCATCAGATGGCTGCTCTGCCGCAGCACCCTGACAGGCCGGGCTTGGTGGAGAAGCCAATGCCTTGTCTTAGCTTCTCTTCGATTCACACAGAGCCAGCTCTGGCTGCAGGGATGTGTTCGTTTTTCCGGATAAGCCATAGGGAGCAGCCTCCATGGCTATCCTTGGTTGTGGGTGGACCCACGTGAGCCTTAGGACTTCTGGAGGCCCATATGTCACATTGGGGCTCCAGAGAGCTTGCCGGTCTCCCTCGCTGCCTGCAGCCCTGCCCTCACAGGATGATGGCTGTGCACCCCATCTCCAAATGCAGACACAAGCCATCGGGAACAGTTGTGCCCAAGAGCGAGAGCCGCCCGGAGCCCGCAGGCCTCTGGAGTGTGTGTTAAGTCTCGCCTCTGGGCCTCCATTAGCCCATATGTAGAGGGAGGGAGCTTGGGGGCCTCACAAACTAAACACCTTACAGGAATGCAGCTGAGGGTCTTCCAGCCAGCTGCCCCTGTGCTTGGCAAGTGCCAAGCCCTTGGCCTCTGTTTTGTTGAGGCTCACGACAGTCATAGCAGTTGGCCCCATTTTACAGATGAGGAAACTAAGGAACCACACAGGTCCAAGGCTTATCCCAGGTCACACAGCTAACGAGGTGCAGAGCCAGGATCAGAACCCAGGCACCTGGCCTTGAAGCCTGCTCCTCAGTGCAGCAAACCTCGTGGGTCTCCCTGAAACTCAGTGACCCCCCTGGCCACAAGAGCTGGCTGATGCCATAGAAAAGAAATGAGTCTGGAAGCCTGCAGCTCATCCTCAGCACCCAGGGCCTCGCTGAGCTCTTCAGCAGGTCTCTTAAGCTGCATGGGCCTCAGGTTCCTCTTCCCTAGAGGGGCTGGCTTCACTTCTTCCAGCATCTCCAAAGTGTTTTCGTTAGATTGCATGCTGCAAGGTGCACCCAGGTCAAAGGCGTCTGTGACCTAAGAGGCTTGGGAAACATGGCATACTATATCCCACTGCCTTTTAATGGCTGGGTGTGGTGGCTCACACCTGTAATCCTAGCACTTCGAGAGGCCGAGGTGGGAAGATATTTGAGGTCAGGAGTACAAGACCAGCCTAGGCAACACAGTGAGACTCCATCTCTGCAAAAAATTTAAAAATTAGCTGGGTATGGTGGCACATGCCTGTAAGTCCCAGGTACTTGGGAGGCTGAGGCAGGAGGATTGCTTGTGCCTAGTTGTTTGAGGTTGCTGTGAGCTAGGATAACACCACTGCCCTCATGCCCAGACAACAGAGTAAGACTGTGTCTCCAAAAAAAAAAAGGGGGGATTCTGAGAAAGGAAGCATATTTGCATTCACTTTAGGGGACCCATTTTCACATAAGCCCACCAGCATCCCTCAGCAGTTGCTCTAACCAACTTTGAGATGTGCTGAGATCTTCCCAGGTTGCGCCTGTACAGGGTCAGGAAGCAAGAACGAGCTTTGGTAGATGTCACACTGTGCCAGGCTGTCCTCATTCTTCTCTCCTCCCCGCAGGTGGAAATGCTAGAACGGAAGTATGGGGGGCGCCTTGTGACCCGCCATGCGGCCCGCACCATCCAGACGGCGTTCCGCCAGTACCAGATGAACAAGAACTTTGAGCGCCTCCGCAGCTCCATGTCGGAGAACCGCATGTCTCGCCGGATCGTGCTGTCCAACATGAGGATGCAGTTCTCCTTTGAGGGGCCTGAGAAAGTGCACAGCTCCTACTTTGAGGGGAAGCAGGTTTCAGTGACCAATGATGGCTCCCAGCTGGGGGCCCTGGTGCCCTCTGAGTGTGGTGACCTTGGAGAGGCCTCCAACCTCAAGTCTCCGGCTCCCTCCAGCGACTTCGCAGATGCCATCACAGAGCTGGAAGATGCCTTTTCCCGGCAGGTGAAATCACTGGCCGAGTCCATTGATGATGCTCTCAACTGCCGCAGCCTGCACTCCGAGGAGGCTCCCGCCCTGGACACAGCACGGGCCCGGGACACTGAGTCCAAGCCGGCCCTGCACAGCATGGACCACCGCAAACTGGATGAGATGACAGCCTCATACAGTGACGTCACCCTGTACATCGACGAGGAGGAGCTGTCACCTCCTCTGCCCCTCTCGCAGGTGGGGGACCGGCCGTCCAGCACTGAGTCGGACTTGCGACTGCGGGCTGGGGGTGCAGCCCAGGACTACTGGGCCCTGGCCCACAAGGAGGACAAGGCTGACACGGACACAAGCTGCCGGAGCACTCCGTCACTGGAGCGGCAGGATCAGCGGCTGCGGGTGGAGCACCTCCCGCTGCTCACCATCGAGCCGCCCAGCGACAGCTCCGTGGACCTCAGCGACCGCTCGGACCGTGGCTCACTCAAGAGGCAGAGCGTCTACGAGCGCAGCCTCGGTGGGCAGCAGGGCAGCCCCAAGCATGGCTCCCACAGCGGCCCCCCCAAGGGCCTCCCCCGAGAGGAGGCGGAGTTGCGGCCCCGGCCCCCTAGGCCCCTGGATAGCCACCTGGCCATCAACGGCTCAGCCAACCGGCAGAGCAAGTCTGAGTCAGACTTCTCGGATGGTGACAATGACAGTATCAACAGCACGTCCAACTCCAACGACACCATCAACTGCAGCTCGGAGTCGTCATCCCGCGACAGCCTGCGGGAGCAGACACTCAGCAAGCAGACCTACCACAAGGAGACCCGCAACAGCTGGGACTCGCCCGCCTTCAGCAATGACGTCATCCGTAAGAGGCACTATCGCATTGGCCTGAACCTCTTCAACAAGTGAGTACCCGAAGAGGGGGCAGCCGCCTACCTGTGCACTGATGACCAGAGAGTGGCCGCAGAGGACAGGCAGGGCCGATGGCAGCCACAGTGTCAGGCCTTGGCAGGTGAGCAGGGCCGAGCTCTCCTGTGCTGTGGCCTACTGCCTGCACAGCGCCGAGTTCGAGGCTCAGAGTGAGCGCATGTGGGCAGGACAAGACCCCACGCAAGGGGTCAGGGGAGATTCCAGCTGTGAGGGAGGCCCAGCCCCTCCCAGGGCCACTGTCAGATGCTCACAGGCTGAGCGGGGCAGAATGGGGGCTTTTCTGTGGTGAAGCATCTTGAGAGGGTCATCAGTCTGGAGTCCAAGGCCCTGTCCGTCATGTCACCCCCTTGTCTACCACAGCGAGTGGTTATGTTGGGCCATGTCCTGCCCAGCCTTGCTTGTCTGGTTCAAGGTGATGCAGGGTACAAAGGCCTTCGAGCAAGGGCATGACAGGCTGTGTTGGGGGAGGGAGGGGGCACCCAGGGACAGATGGAGGCTCTACCTGGGGCCGGATCTGGGAGTGACACCCAGGGACAGATGCAGGCCAGACCTAGGGCTGTGTCTGAGGGGGACACCCCAGAGGCAGATACAGGCCAGACTTGGGGCTGTATCTGGGGGGCGACACCCCAGGGGCAGATGCAGGCTGGACCCAGGGCCGTGTCTGGGGGAAGGAGGACACCAGGTCTTAGGGAGCTACATGACTTGGATTCGTTGAGCGCTGCTTCCCGTGGGGGTCTGGGAAAGGTGCTGTCAGGCCCCTGAGAACAGAGCCAAGGAGGGACGGGTATTTAAAGCAGACTATTGGCCGGGCGCGGTGGCTCACGCCTGTAATCCTAGCACTCTGGGAGGCCGAGGCGGGCAGATTGTTTGAGCTCAGGAGTTCGAGACCAGCCTGAGCAAGAGCGAGACCCCGTCTCTACTAAAAATGGAAAGAAATTAATCGGACAACTAAAAATATATAGAAAAAATTAGCCGAGCATGGTGGCGCATGCCTGTAGTCCCAGCTACTCGGGAGGCTGAGGCAGGAGGATTGCTTGAGCCCAGGAGTGTGAGGTTGCTGTGAGCTGGGCTGACGCCATGGCACTCACTCTAGCCCGGGCAAAAGAGTGAGACTCGCTCTCAAAAAAAAAAAAAAAGGAGACTATTCTTAGCGCAGCCAAAAATAACATGAGGAAGGAGAGGAGGGCTGAGCACTCCCTCAGGGGACGCTGGCAGGCTCTTGTGAAGCCTGAGATATCACATTATTTCCATCCCCAGGGCCTCTGGGATTTTGGGTCATCAGATACTGACCTGGCACTGACTCCCTGGGATTTGGGGACATGGAAGGGATGTGGCCAGCCTGCTTGGTGGTCTCTGACACACATCCTGGGAGCCAGGGGCAGACAATGGTTTTCCCAAATGGTCACACAAGGGTGGTGAGTGGCACAGGGGCCCCTTGAGGCCAATGCCAGGCTGTACTTCCCTGCTCCCTGCTGCCTCCTCTCCTAGACTTGGGGACAGGGCACTTCTGAACCATCCTGGTACAGATGGAAGTGCTGTCTGGAGGTATCAGAGAGGCCTGTCCTGGGAGGTGGGTCTAGAGAATGGGGCATTTACTTGGGGCTAGCCAGGGGCTGTGGATTACCGGTCCTTGCTCAGCTAGGAACTGAGTCTTGGTCATCTCATCTGCCAGGGGCGCTTTCTCCTGAGCCTCCAGTCTGCTGGTGGCCTGCTGCACGCAAGGGCCAGCCCTGCCGCCAGTCGAGCCACAGCTAGAGCAGCGGCTAGAGAAGTGTCCCGTCGAGCCCACCCTGACTTTGTCCCGGAAGTCTGCCCCCACTGCTCCTAGGCACAGCCCAGCTCCAGGGCCATCCCAGACCCAGGACGGTGTCCCACAGTGGGAAGGCTGGGTAACTGGGGGTCCCCAAGGAGTGGACAGGTAGGGGCCGGGACAAACAGTCTCCCTCAGCCAACCAGCTTTGGTCTTTGTGGATTCTTTCTTCTGTTAATTTTTAACTACATGTGTGACACACGAATACATTCTCCACAGAAAACGCAAGCCTTTCAACTAAGGATAACGTCCTCTTTGACTCACAGCATTTTGCAGTTTCTCTGTGTGCTCTTAGGAGCTATGGACAGACATGGTCAAGAGCACAGCTCTGGGGCCAGGCCTCCTGGCTTCAAATCACAGCCCTCCCACTTCCTGTCTGCATGTCCTGGGGCAGTTCAGGTCCCTGTGCCACAGCGTCTGCACCTGCCACGTGGGCCGATGCCAGGACATCAGGCTGTGAGGATGAAGAGTTGGGGTGTGTGGAGTGCTGGGAGCAGGGCCTGGCACACAGCAAGGCCTGCGTGCGTACGCGCTGCTATTTTTTGATCCTTGTTAGTATCATTTGGGGCCTGAGACTGTGTGACATTGTCTCACTGGGATGTCACTGTGCCTGTTGCTGAGCCATGCACATAGGCTGCCTTGTTCCTGTGGGCTGCCGCATGGTAGTCCGCAGTGTGGGTCATCTGTAGGTTTCGGCCAGTCGCTCGCTCACAGTGGTCAGTGGTATGACAGTGGACATAACCCTTTAGGCACACGCCCGAGCAGTTTCTGGGTAAGACAGCTGGCAGTGGAAGCATTGGGGCTCGGGTAGCCGTGGTTTTAATTGGAGTGGGAACTGCCCACTTGACTGTTGACAAGGAGACTCTACCTGTTTCCACCCTGCGCCGCTGGATTTAAGAGTTCCTGTTTCCCCCAAACGCTTGTCAACGCTTGGTATTCTTTTTCCCTCCAGTCACTGGGTAGAGATCGTGTCTCTTGCTCATCTGAATTTGTCTGTGCCTGCTTCCCTGAGAGGCGGAGCATCTGTCTGGGCCATCTGTGATGCCTGCGCGTGTTCTTTGCCTGTTTCGCTGTTGGTGGTTTGTCAGTTTTGAGGACATGTCGTTCCTAGGAGTTCTTCATACATTGTGGGTACTAATCCTTTGTAATTACAGGTATTTTCCTGTTACTTGTCTTTCTTTTCCATAAAATTCACTCTTAACAAACAGCATACGATCTAGTGGTTTTAGTCGCACATCTTGTTTATGCTCTCTTACCTAATAGTTTTTAATTTTAATTAGTCAAATCATCAAGGTTTTCTTTTGTGTAGTTACATTGGATTTTTATGTTTTATTTTAAAAGGCTCTGCCCCAGGTAATAAACATAGTTTTAAAAAGATTTTTTAGTACTTCCATAGTTCTGTTTTATACATTTTACGTCTTTAATCTGGAATTTGTTTTGAAGGACGATACAAGGCGAAGAGTCTAACTTTGGTTATGTGCTGTGAATTAGCCAGTTGTCTCCAGGCAATTTATGGAATAGTCTGTTCTTTCTCTGCTGACTTGAGCCATCTGATTCCTACATGAACATGGGTCTGGGCTTAGATCCCTTCGTTCATTCAGCAAATATTTATTGGACACATAGTGCATGCCAGGCTCTGTTTTAGGGGGCCTGGGACATCTCAGCACACTGAATAAAGATCCTTGTGTCAGGTGTGGTGGCTCACGCCTGTAATCCCAGCACTTTGCAAGGCCAAGGTGGGAGGATTGCTTGAGGCCAGGAGTTCAAGACAAGCCTGGGCAACATAGCAAGACCCTGTTTCTATTAAAAAAGATTCTTGTGGAGCTCCACTTTAATGGTTAGGAGATTTGTTTGATTATGCCCTTGTCAACATCAGAATTTTAACTACTACAGTTTACTACATTTTCTTATTAGGGCAAGAACCCCTTTCTTGTTCTTTTTAAAAATTGTCGTGGAGCAGGATATGGTGGCGGGCGCCTATAATCCCAGCTTCTCTGAAGGCTGAGGCAGGAAGATCACTGGAGCCCAGGAGTTCAAGGGTGCAGTGAGCTATGATTGCACCTGTGAATAGCCACTTCACTCCAGCCTGGGCAGCACAGCAAGACCCTGTCTCTAAAAAAAAGAAGTTTGTCTTGGCTCTTCTTGAGGAGTTATCCTTGCATATGACTTTTAGAATCAACTCATTGAGACCCATGAAAATTCCTGGTGGAGTTGCCTTCAGCTCCGAGATTAACTTGGGGCAACTTGCCCCTTTACACCATGGATGGTAGCACTCTGATCCACAGGTGGCTGCTTAAATGAAAACTAAGATTAATTCAGTCCCTCAGTGGCACTAGCCATATTCCAAGTGCTCTGGCCACGTGATTGGCGGCTGCTGCTTTAGGTGGAGAGACAGTCCCTTCATGTTTTCCTGTAGGGTGGGTGCCTTTCAGATGAACGAACTGAGGCTCCAAGAGGGTACCTTGCCCAGGGGCACTCAGCTGGCAGGTGACTGGGCTGGACCAGGTAATGAGGTCACACCCAGGCACCTGGCTCCTGAACACATCCTCTGAAAATCCGTGCTGCAGTGACCGCCACCAGCGGTGTAACCCTGGGCTCCCCACCTCCTCACGCAGTGACAGTTCTGTAAACGGAGTCCAGGAGGCAGAGCCTTGCCACTGTGGGAGGCCATGCAGCCCTGGAGCCCGGGTCAGCGCCCAGCAAGGCCCTCGCTGGCCTGTCACCTCCACGCTCCTCCCCACTCGGCGTCCCTGCTCCTGCACCCCCCACAGGCGCAGGGGTGCAGCCTCACCGTGTCTGTCTCCTCTCTGTCACGTCCCCCTCGTGCTCTGGGCCAGGCCAGGCCTCCCACCTCTGGAAGAATGTCCTCAGCCCCCAGCCCCCCTGACAACACAGATGCCTCGTCTCTGAGGGCCTGAGTGACCACATGGAGTGGCGGTGTGGTGGGCGGGACTCCCCCTCCCCACCCTGTGCCTGGCCCCTGGGGCCCGCAGCCGCGAGGTGCCATCCTGCCCGCTAGAGCCCCTGCGGGCGGGAGGCGGGGAGCGTGGCCGGAGCGTGCGGGGTGCGGTGCTGTGTCACCCTTGAGGCGGCGCCGCAGGAGCCACCCCTCTCCTTCTGGGGAAGCAGGGCTCAGAGGGTGCCGGGGCTTGTCCAGCCTCTCTC